TTTCTCTATTGCATTGAGAGTTAAGGGAGGGTTTCTTGATGAGGATATTCTTCTGAAGCCTCAGACTTATACTCAAAGGAACAGAAAAAGAACTGTAAATTCCAAGTATCTAAAGCAAATGCTCTCCATGGGAAGTTAGGGATCTGCACTCACCAATAAACTAAACTTCTTGAGCTGAAGAGGTCTTAGGCTGCCTTGGTCTTCCCAGAGCTACATTTCACTGTCCTCCAGTGTAATCCAGAGAACAATCTATAAGTGATTTTATGACCTCGACATCTCACAGATCATCATGACAGTCTACTGCATTACAGCAATGCTAGTTGGACAGAGCAAACAGGAAGAAGTGAACACAAAGAGTCTATTAGTAAAATACAGATGTTCCAAAAGTTTCAATTCCAGGAAAACGCAGAGTCACACTCAGAATACAGTCAACTGGAAAATGTCAAGATGATCTCCTCCAAATACAAAAGTAAGAGAAAGACTGATTATAAAGGAGATGATTGCTACAGATGTCTGATGGCTCAAAGTCAAAAAGGAAAAGTTAGTGTGGGACTGGATTATCCTCCTGGAAGCAAGACTGCAAAGAACTCAGGACTTTAGCAAGGCAGTTTCATGTCACCCAATCAGTGGAAGAGCTCTGAGCTCACCTTCCTTTGCTGTGAGAGCTGAAGGCAGAGGGAGTGTCACAGTGGTCAAGAGCATTGTGGCCAGCTATGCAAAGAAGAACTAAGCAGTCTAAGAGTACGTTCTTCCTTGTTCAGTATGTACTTGATTAAATTCACTATTTTGCTTTCTTCTTTTCACCCTTATAAAGTAATTTAAAAATTATTGATACCAATTGACTTAACAAGTTGGCCTTCAGTTGACTTGAGAATGTTTCATGAGAACTTGACTGTATAAGAAGAAAAATTAGTACCACTCAAATATTGATGGTGACTATTGGAGCTCCTGCCATTGGGGAAACATTGACAATGCATTTGTTTTTAACTTGTGCGTGTGTGTGTGTGTGTGTGTGTGTGTGTGTGTGTGTGTGTGTGTGTGTACACAAGCACCTGCCATGGTATGACTGTAGGGAGAAAGTTCTGTCCTTTCATTGCATGGGTCCTGGGCAATGCACTCGGGTCAGGCTCTGTGCAGGCACCACGCATCTGTGGTTATAATGATTTGGTTTGTGCATTGAAACATCAGTAGAAACTCTGAGCTGATATTTGACCCTGAAAGACCGTGAATGTTGCCTGTTAGGAGTGATCCATTCCTGTGTTGCAATCCTTCTAACTTGTTCTACTGTCCTGAGGCCGGTGGTCCTGGATGCTCTCACCAGATGGTTTCACATCAGGTCCTACCAAGAGGGTCAGGAAGGCTTTAAAAATAAAATAGAAGAAATCCACTCTGAACTACAAATTCCTCTCACGACTTCAACAGGATGTAGCCACTAAAGCAGCTACATCTTTCAGTATCCAGGACAAGCACATGGTGTGTCCTCATTCTCTCCAGTCCCAGTAAAGAGTCTCCTTAAATGTCAGTACCAGCTAGGTGCCCACTCAGACATCTGCATCTGTACCCTCCATGCACCCAGTCTCTGCAGCTCTGTCTCAGGTTGACTGTTCCCAGTCCTTAGACGGTAGCAGCTTTTAGGGGTGGGAGCCTCTCAGACACTTACTTGCACCTGTAAAGGAGGCAGCGTCTGATTTCTACATTGTGACATTTCCTCCTTCTTTTCTTCCACTTACAGGTAAGAACAGCTTCCTGCAGCTACAAACCTCTTACTCAAAATTATTTCTAATTTTCAAACACCACAGAGCTACTTCCTACATTGTATTTCCAGTTCTTTGAACATACTGCATTGAAATAAAATAAAATTGAAACAGTGCCCACAGCTACAGCATGACTTCATACATGATTATCAGTGATGCATGGATTTATTGCTTCTTGTATTTCACTATCTGTTGTGAGCTTTCCAGAGTGTGCCCTAGTAGAGGCAATAGTTAAAGCATTATTTCCATGAAAGGCAATTAAAAGGACAGTTATAAGATAACAGCAGCTATATTCCCTACCTTGACCAAAGTGAGAAAATGAAGAGTATAAGGGTTACTTGAAACTAAAAAGCCTAAACTCTAGATCCTAGAGGTGATACCTCAACAGCAAAAATAAAATAGAATGGGAAAATGAAATAAAAAATGGGGAGTTAAGGAAGTTTAAAAACACCAAAGCAAAATAAGGGTAAAGTCTGATATTAATTCCATTAAAAGGCAAAAGATCAAAGCCCATATGTTCAATTTTCCCCTCTGCATTATCTAACTCTAGCATTCCACATTTCCTATGTGGATTTTTACTGTCTATTTTAATATAAGATTAAATGTCATCAAAGCTAAGATTCTTCATGAGTTTGTTATCCCAGTATTCACTGGGTATGAACCTATAGATACAGACATTAAAAACAGACCAGGGACTGGAGAGATGACTCAGCAGTTAAGAGGGCCCACTCTTCTTCCAAAGGACCTGAGTGAGATTCCTAGCAACTACACTGGGTAGCTTACAATCACCTGGAGCTATCTCCTGAGGATTCAACACCCTCTTCTTGCCTCCAAGGATATGTTCACTCTGGTGGCATATACCCACACAGACAGAAAGACGTGCATAAATTAAAATTTTAAAAAATCTTTTTAAACAGACTATAGCTAGAGTTTTCCTGCCTGGCCCACAGTCAGGACAAATCTCTCACACCTGCCAGTCCCACAGCCGCTCAAACCGGAACAAGTAAACACAGAGACTTATATTGGTTACAAACTGTATGGCCGTGGCAGGCTTCTTGCTAACTGTTCTTACAGCTTAAATTAATCCATTTCTATTAATCTATACCTTGCCACATGGCTCACGGCTTACCGGCATCTTTACATGCTGTTTCTCATCATGGCGGCTGGCAGTGTCTCTCTGACTCAGCCTTCCACTTCCCAGCTCTATTCTCCTCCTTGTTCCGCCTATACTTCCTGCCTGGCCACAGGCCAATCAGTGATTTATTTATTGACCAATCAGCAACACATTTGACATACAGACCATCCCACAGCACTTCCCCTTTTCTTTTCTTAAAAAGGAAGGTTTTAACCTTTACACATCTCCAAAGTCAGCTTGGTATATTTGGGAATTTGGGCGTAGCTTCTCTTACTACGTCCTGCTGGAGGGGGGCGCTGTATCTTATGGGGACACAAAGAATATTTTAGGATTATGGAGTAGTCCGTGAGGGTGTATCGTCTGAGCCAGTTGCCTTGAAACCATTCTGGATGTTGGATCATCTGGGCCATGGTGTCATCGGAAACCTTTCAGGGAGTCTTGGCTGGTCAAACCTGATGTATCTTAATCTGGAACAAATCCATAGCCTCTGGCTTTCTGTGGAAACAAAAGCAGAGCCTCCTTTCCAAAGCAACATATCCTTACATCCAAATTTTGAAGTCAGGGTACCTTTAAAATATACATTTTGGCATAACTCAACAGCTTTTGCAATCAAATGTTTTTCTTCAGTTACGAATATCAAAGAGAACATAATCCAGATTCTCTGTGTGGTAGCCAACTTTACATGGCTTATTTTTTTATATATTAGCTTGAGCCTATTGCTTTAAACTGCAACCTTCTAAGCCTGAAATGGTGCTGGCGCTATGGCTGCTGGCTCTGCCCACTTCAGCTTCCCAACATGGCGGTGGTACGTTTTCCGCCAGCTCTGGGAGCCATCAACTCTCAGAAATAGTGGGTCTATGCTTCTATCAAAGCAGCGTGTAGCCCAGAAACCTCTTTTTTTTGTTTTGTTTTGTACTAGCAAAGGCTAAATCCACCACACAGCTTAATGTGCCACTTGCAGAGGCCTCATTCCTGCCATACTGCAGGTCGAGTGTGCACGCTAGGAACCCACAAGTAGCTCAAACCGGCAGCTGCCGCTCATTTGAGAGAGACAATTAGGAACTGTTTTTAGCTCCGTTTTAGAATCTTTTTTCTCGGTTTTTAGGTGGAAACTCTTGCCACCACGTTGGACACCATTTGTAGATGTAACCAACGGTCTTATTAAATAAGAAACACAGAGCCGATTCAAAGAAGAAAGCCAAGAGGTCAGAGCTAAGAGCCTCACCCTTCCTGATTCAGGGATCCTCTTCAGCCAAGAGAGCTCTCCAAAAGGGGAAAAGGGGAAGTGCTGTGGGATGGCCTGTATGTCAAATGTGTTGCTGATTGGTCAATAAATAAATCACTGATTGGCCCGTGGCCAGGCAGGAAGTATAGGCAGGACAAGGAGGAGAATAGAGCTGGGAAGTGGAAGGCTGAGTCAGAGAGACACTGCCAGCCGCCATGATGAGAAACAGCATGTAAAGATGCCAGTAAGCCGTGAGCCATGTGGCAAGGTATAGATTAATAGAAATGGATTAATTTAAGCTGTAAGAACAGTTAGCAAGAAGCCTGCCACGGCCATACAGTTTGTAACCAATATCAGTCTCTGTGTTTACTTGTTCCGGTTTGAGCGGCTGTGGGACTGGCAGGTGTGAGAGATTTGTCCTGACTGTGGGCCAGGCAGGAAAACTCAAGCTACAACAGACAAAATACTTTCCCATCTAAAATGTAAGTGGCCTCTGGCTGGAACTCAAATACCTGGAAAATTAACTACTACTTATTCAGTTCTTTTAGTCAACTGATGAACATAGAGATGGAGGCAATGAATTTCACTTTTCTTAATATATGAGAAGATGGGTTCATCCAGTAACTCACATGAGAAGATTAAAATTTGATCATTTCAAACCAAAAGCATGTGTTTAGTAGGTTTTACCAATGGATTAAATTAGTATTCTAAATATTCTAGCAGTTGCCTTACTTCCAGAACATACACAAAGAGATAATTGGAGAAAGTTCTATTTGGGGGCACTCACTTCACACTTGGATATTATTACTGCTGTGTTGGGTTAGTTGTGGTTTTCTGTATCCATGCCCTTTACTATGAATTTTGCTGTTACTTCTGTTTCATTCAGTTTTAGAGGGAACAAACAAGGCCAGCAGCCTGAGAACAAGCCACCCAGTCTCAGAGACAACTGTGGATCTCATACGTGGGTGGCTTTGCTAACTATGCAACTGGGCATCAGACTCAAGGAAATGATGGAGGGAAGGAGCAGAGTGACCACAGCCTCCATCCGCAAAACATGGACGTTGGGACTGTCTAAGACCCATTATGGGTTAAAAGCAGTGAGTTTGATGTTGAGAATGAGTGCACATTAATTATCTCATACTTTTCACTATCTGGTGGTGTGTTATCGGAGGTTGGTGGTCTCGACAAACATCATGCTGGTTGATTGAACCTTATTCTTTCTCCCTCCTGAGGGCTAATCTTTACACGTCTGTATAACTTTCTGCCTATACTGGAGGGTAGGTACTCAATAAGCAATCATTAAAAGGGTCTACTATGTTCTGAAGTGGGTGTGGGTACATTATACATAACTGTACATATCATATTAAGTGGCAGAAAACTGATCCGTAAGCTAGAGGCTACAGTCCAGACAACTGTGTCTCATATAGCACAGGATAACATCTGAGAGAGGTCGAATAAATTAGCATAAGTGTATGTGATCATTTTAAAAGTATCAAGTGAATGCATTAATAAGTAAAAATTTCAAGAAATGTTCTCTTTAATTCATGAATCATATTAACTATTAATATCAAGACGGTGGAGGAAGGGTACATAGTCCAACTAAAAGGCATCCTGTATAGAATTCATGTAGGATAAATTTATTCTGCAGCCTACCACTGTGGAGAGATTCCCTGTTCCTGCATACCAGGCAGCCCTGAGCTCTCTCTCTCTCTCTCTCTCTCTCTCTCTCTCTCTCTCTCTCTCTCTCTCTCTCTCTCTCTCACACACACACACACACACACACACACACACACACACACACACACACACATACTGTTGGTGAAAGAAAACAAACTTCCATTGACCTGGTAGAGCTAGTCCCTCCTGCCTCCTTGGCAGTAGTAAGGAACCAAAACAAAATAAACGAGACTGAAGGTGGAAGCCCCATTCTGGAAACAGAGCCTTAGGAAGGGATAGGGTCCCTGCTGGACACCAGGGAAAGAGGGTTTCCAAGGAAAAGAATGTCTAGTATACCAGAGAGGTTGGTGAGTATTTCCCTAGAACCACAAAGGAAAAGATTTCTGCAAAGAGCTGTTAGATAAGTCCTGCACTCAGCTGATTCATCTAATTATAGGAAATCTAAGGTGTCCCATTAGTTCAGACTCCACTGTATTAAGCGACAGTTTTCGGAGATCGAAATGACTCTGAAATCAGAGAAAGATGCCTTGACTCTGTGAGTGAGCTTATCTCCCAGACGTCTCCCTAGCTCAGCTCTAGTGTCTGGAGTGATGTTACCCCAGACACAACAGTTATTTAATCTCACTTCGTTTTTCAATGTCAGGACACATTCATATTTTATTAGTAGAAACAAAGTCCATTACCAAAATTTTCACATGAATAAATGTGCAGCTGCATTTAAAGTGGCATGATTCCTTTTATTGTTATAACTTCATGTTGATGTTAGATACCTAAGTGTAGAGACCTGTGTTCTTCTCCCGCTCCATTTATCGTCCAGTAACAATGAGTAAACCAGTGACTCCCTTGATTCATTAAGCAGGAAAACAGGCTACATGCATTATTGAAATGATAGCTACCTAAAAGGAAACAGTTTTTATCAAGAAAATATTAAAAAGCTATAACTTAAAATCTTAAGAGTAAATTATGTTATCACAAGGCTATTGTAATTTAACTAAAATGCTGGTGTTATATTTGATATTTTTGTTGCCAAACCTTAATAATTTTTAAATGACCATTAAGTAGTAAATATAAAGAATTTAATCCACAGGACACAGTTCTAAATTTATTACAGTATTTGTGGTAGACAACTTAGAATACGTGGAGGAAATATCTCAGCTGAAGCAATGATATAGCAGTAATGAGCATGTGCTGCTCTTGCAGAGGACCTGAGTTCAGTTCCCAGCATCCACATGGGATGGCTCACAACTGCCTGTAACTACAGCTCCAGGGATTCTGATGTCTCTAAACCATCAGAACCTGACATGTATGATACACACACACACACACACACACACACACACACACACACACACACACACAATTAAATATAATAGAAACATTTTTTCTATTGTTTCTATTATAACATCTGGAAAACAATAATATCTCATCAGAACAAACCCATCCCTCACATTCTTAGTTCTAAGCCCCACTTTCCTGCAGTTTTTAGTGGCACAGATCAGACACAGCACAGTGATTTCACTAGACACTCAAAAGTCCGATGTTTTTTCTTGTATTTACCGTGTGAAAGTTTTTCTATCAGTTAATCACTTTCTTACTGAATACTTTGACAAACATACTCCACAAACACTCAACACCATAACATTTTAGAATTTAAATTTAAAAATAAATTTGAAAATGCTTGTGCTCCCAAAAGTAAACAAAAGATAATATACAAATTTCATACACTATTAAAACATCATAAGTATGGCCACCCACCACCCAGCTCAACCCTGCATCTATTTATTTATAAAGTGGATAGAGCACCTCACCTTCTTCTATGTAAACCATGGCCTGAGGCACATGCCACACAGCTATTCCTGGAAAGCCTGGATGTCCCTCAGGGGCCTCCCTGTTTGCTGGAATGGAGAGGGCTTCAGAGGCTGCGAGGCTGGGCTCCAGAACCTTCTCTTGCCACTGTTCAGTTAGATTCGTTGTCCATGGTCCCCCTTTACCCACAAGTTGACTGTCGAACACTATCTACAACTTTAACTAGGAGTGATGCTGCATACCTGTAATCCCAGCACTGGGGGCGTCAGCCTTGGTTACATACTGATGCTGAGGCCAAGACTGGAATATATGAGATACTGTCTCATAAAAAGTTGATGGATTGGGGGTGAAATTAAAAGGCCTACTGCTTTGATTTCACAATTTTAAGCACCTTTGCAGGGTGGCAACATGTCAAGAGGGCATTTTCTTCTTCCTTGTATGCTAATTCAAGAACCCGCAGTGTCACAGTGAGCGAAGGAGAACAAAGATGGAGAGAAAGTGTCAGCCATTTCTGACTGGCCACGTGATGCTCTTTCCTGTTATTCTTTAGAACACAAACCCAGGAAACAGACACTAAAAATTAATTGGCTTTCCACCCTCTATCCTTATCCATCAATTTTGAAATCATCTTAAATTCATGAGTGATATTTGTTTGAGATGTGGGTGCTCGACCTGGGATACTGAGTGCTATCTATTAAACGGACAGTTTAAAGCCTTCTCAGCAGGGTTGTGCAATTGGACTGTTTTATACACAGTGAGTGAAAATCAATGGTCTGTCTATGCCTATCACAGCATGTCACATCTGTGATTGAATCTTTTCAACCAGCTTATCAGACATACAGCACAGGGATAAATTTATCTTTACACTCTCTATATGTGTCACCAAAAATAGCCTGAGGATCAGTATAACCTAATGAACTAAGAATGTCTGATAAATGATCAGAATGTGCTCCTCAGTGAAAGCAGCAGCCTATCCTTTGGAGGTAGAGTGGAGGTAGTGTGTTTCTAAGGAAAATTTAGGTCCTTAGAATTTGCTTCCAAAAAAAGCTGTACCTGTGCTATTCCCACACCAGCCAATTGCACTGTCTTAAGAGTTCTGCCCCCACTTTATTTGGATGTTGATGAAAACATACACAGAGGTTGTTTGAATCATAGCTATCACACTGGGTTTTATAATTTTGTTTTTTGTACCAAACTAAAAGCATCCATATTTTTAACTTAAAAATCTGCTATAAATACATTTTAAAAGTATTTATCTAAATATTTTTAAATTTATTTTATTTCATTGTGTGTGAGCACATGTGTGTGGATGCCCCCTGAAGCCAGAAAGGGGTATTGGATTCCCTGGAGCTGGAGTTAGAGGCAGCTGGGAGCACGCCACCCTGAGTGCTGGGAGCTGTGCTCAGGCTCTCCGCAAGAGCCTCAAGAACTCTTAACTACTAGGCCATCTCTCAAGGTCCTTATCGAAATTTCTTTTGGAGGGGGTAATTCCTTGGTTTTTTTCATTATCACTGGAAATTTTCATATGTGTATACAATGTACCTTGGTTGTGTCAGTCAATAAATACCTTATGATCAATTGTTTCTAAGTGAGTCCAGCTTGGTGACCTTTACCTGAGTTTTTGGAAGGTTAAATAGTATGTTCTGCTGTTAAATTACTCACATGAAAATCAAATAAGAATAAACACCCTGAAAATCACTAAAAACAAAGAAATGAGTCAGTGAGGGAAATCATTATTGAAATGTTAAAATAAAACAAATTCTGATCAGCAACAGTTTTACACAACTCAAATTTGTTTCCTAATCCATGGTGATACTTATGTGTTCTGTCTTATCATTGCTACAGACTTTCCCAGTATGTTATTTCCAAGCATAGACTAGTAGTATTGGGCACTGGGGAGGTGGCTCAGGGATCAAAGCACATGCCTTAAAATCCTGAGGACTGGAGTTTGGACCCCAAAGTCAATATAAATACTAGGTGGGCATGGTGGTCCACCTGCTTTTAAAGTGTGTAGAGGGTGGAGACAAGGGATTCCCTAAGCAAGCTAGCTAGAAAGATTAGCCAAATATGGGAAATCTGGGTTCAACTGAGCCACTCTGCCAGCATGAATAACGTAGAAGTGACTAAAGAAGTCTGTCAAATGTCAGCTTTGGGCCTGGACTTTTAAGCTCACACAAAGACATGCACACACTCACACCCATGTGCCCTTATTCACATACCCACACACTTATAATAATAAAAAACAACCTCAGTAAACTTTAAAAAAATGGTATAGACTAAGGAGCTGGCTCCACAGATGAAGGCACTTGGTGCCAAAGTTGATGACCTGAGTTTGATCAAAGGGTCCTCATGGTAGAAGGAGAGATTTGACTCCCACAAGCTGTCCTCTCATTTTCGTGTGTACACACACGAACTGAAAATGAACACAAGGTAACAAAAGTAGTATAAGGCAATTACGTGTCTTCATAGGATGGCGCCTGCATGAGTAAAGGGAAAGCTATCAACTAACATTGCTAGGGTGGGTGTGAGGGTGATTGCTCCATGAATGGAAACAGACTTGCAATCATGCATGCAAACTTGCAAAACATCGAATGTCTGCAAGACTGGTGACATA